CCCCAAAACCCCAAAACCCCAAAACCCCAAAACCCCTCTTTATTAAATTATTATTGATTTTTCATTAAATGGCCAAAAGAGGTAATCCACTCATCCTGTCTTCCTGGGAGATCCTGGATTCAGGCACAAATGAGAGATTGAAATGGTAGTTTCAGCCAAACGGGTAGCTTAATAATTATCAAGCTGCTTAACGCTAATATTAGAATTGTCAAAATTCTTACTATGAATATAGTATTACTAAGAAAGATGAAAGGCTCAGTAGCTGATCTCAGACAAAATCTGCTGAATAAGAGAACCTACAGTATCTTCGTAGGGGATAAATCATATAAAACTAATTTCTGGCTCAGATTTATAGACCAAGGTCTTGGTAATTTGAAAAAACTAACTTTAGATGTTAATAAAAAGTTCAAAAACTCGATGTTGAAGACTCACAGATACAGCATCTGCTGTCTACTGTTCTTCATTTTAATATAGGCTTGCTCATGACTTATTTCTTTACTGTACAAATTTCAATATTGGCTCTAACGGCTCTAGCCACAACCTGACTGTGTACTCTTCATATTTCAAAGAGATGTACATTGCCGAAGACTCAAAGAATCTTATCATTCTTACTTCTAATTCAAATGTCTTTGTTCTTACAAGCTAATGATAGACTAAAAGTGTTCATAATTTTGCTGGCTAATATGACAATAGACCTTCTGAACGGATACCAATGGTACAGCCACTTACTGCTCAACTTATTCCTACTTCATAATCAACTAATTGAAGCATTACCTTATATTGCAGTCGAAGTCATAGTATACTCCCTTCTAGAGCTAGCCTTTAAAAAGGCATGGGTACTGCAAGACACAGCCAAAAGAAGTGAGAAGTTGTTCCATAATTGCTTTGACAAATTCCCATATGAAGTGTTCATAGTTGATAAATAAGTCCAATCTTTTGTTCTACAACGAGTTTGGAGAGAAAAGCTTTCAAAAATTATTTGACAATAACTTTAAAAACGCTGCTGAAATTGTACCAAAATCAAGAACACTAGATATTCTTAACCTAGTCTCAGACAATGATAGGGATAGGTTCAGAAAGGTCATAGAAGCAGTCGCAGATCAAAAAGATGACAAAATCTGCCAATGCCAGCTCTCTAGTGACTCAAAAGCACCATCCAAGTAAGCTAAGTAAGCATATTTTAGAAAAGAAAGACGAGAGTCCAGTATAAAACTTTCAAAAGAACCATCAGTTATCCCTGGTGTGGAGAAGGAGTATAAAAATGATCATTACTGTCCTAAATGCAATACGAAGTATAATGTATTCCAGTTCATTAGCTCAGAAACCAACAAAGATGACATGGAGAAAGGATTCGAGTTAGTTCAAGTAGATTTCATCAAAATGTTCTGGAAATCAATAAAATCAGTCATGATAGTAGCTAAAAGCTTGAAACAAGAAACAAACTCTCACAGAATCCTAGAGTCCCAAACAAAGGAAGTCGAGTCTCTTATATGAGAACTTAACGATAAAATTGAAAGCAATCACAAAATCGAAACTAAGCTAGACAAAGATACGTCTTATTCAACAAAAATGCTTAAGTTATCAAATACTCTGTACAACAAGTTCAGCATTATCAAAAATTTCTTCCACATAGAGAATAACACACTGGAGATAGAAAACAACCTCTTCGATCTCAAAAGTGCTATCTACTACACAATAGACTTGTGATCAATGGCTATGCAGAATAAAGCAAGGATCTCTATCAATATGGAGGAGTTGCTTCCTAACGAAGTTCGGGGTGACAAAATCAAGCTCCAGCAGATCCTCTCCTGCATCATGGACCTTGTTCTCATGATGACAAGTTCAGGAGAGATCATCCTCAAATCCACACTAGACAGGATGCTTGTTAAAAGCAGGCAATATTTGATAAAATTCTCGTTTGAATTTACTCCAACCTCTCTAAATTCAAATGAAATCCTATCAAGCTTGTTTTCAAAAACTTCTGATATTAAAAAACTTCAGAAAAACAAGTTTTTGAGCAATACGAATGTCCTGAACGCCAGCTCAATCCAAAAGATCCCTCATCTACAAATAGGCTTAGTCAGGAATGTGATCTACAAGCTTATCTATTATATGCAAGGGAACTACAAAACGTTTACAAGGAACGATTTGGTTATTTTTGAAATCAAGCTCCCTCTCAACCACTCACAACAAAATGTATTGTCCTCAGAAGGATATGACGACTTAGTCTCACCTCTGAGACTTCATAGAAAGAACGGTAAGGGCAGTTTCAGCTCATCTCTAGTCTCTTCAAACATGCTCAGCATTGCTGAAATATTTAGAGGTGGGAATAATCCAAGGGCAACCTCAAAACCAAGCCATATAAAAGATAGATCCAGGACCGACAAAGATCTTCGCCAAGAGATGAAATTTAGCGGGAAAAGAATCAAATTACCATGTAAATTCTTAGCCTAACGTCATAGCTTTCTCCAGTCCAAAGGGTAAATTCCCGGTTAATCCTTATTAGAAGAAAAGAAGAATCCATCGTCGATTCGAAGAAACTCAACTAGGCATAAAGGTGAAGAGTCCAAATAAAATCAGCCCTGTAAAGAGAGATAGAGATGTCTCGAACAAAAATTATAGGTTTGAGGTAGAGACTCCCAAGGTGCAAGCTTATTCAAAGCATCGAGAGGATACCTGCCACAATGTCTTTAACTTGTACTCAGGTTGTCTAAGTTTTAGCATGAATACAGCGAAGAAGAAGCAAAATAATACGATTATGGATAGGATACCTCTAGAAAAGTGAGAGTCAAATTCCTCCCTAAATCTCGACTCTCATTCTCAAGTTAGTGGTAATTTTGGCAATAACTCGTTCGAGCCGAGGTAATTTTATTCCCTTAAAAATAGCAAGGAGAATGATTTAAAGCCTTTCAGCAAAAAGTCTTTGAATTCCAAACGTAAAGGGAGCTTGCAAGAAAAATCAAGCAAAAGTACAGTTCTTGATATAATACTCTATAGTGAAACTATGTCAAAGAAGACGGTCAAGATTTGAAGTATCTTTGTCTCTTTACTCTTAGAAACGAAACACTCGCAACGGGGATCTATCCCACCATGAAGAATCATCAGATTATTCTAAAGAAGAAAATTTTATAAGAGATTCAGGTAACTCAGAGTTCTCTTCTATCCCAAAATGTCATGATTCCATCAAGAAGGGCTCTTTAAAAGTAAGTTTTACTGATTAATTCAAGAAGAACGGTAGTATCAAAAAGATTGGAAATACTAGGGTATTCATTCAACTTACCCTATATAGATGAAAAGAAAACATAAAAATACGACTCAGAGTAGGATAAAATACTAAAATATAGAATACGTGTTACCACGAAGCCAGAATACCCATGGAATTCTTCAAATTAATCAAAATATTCATCAAGTTGCAATGATCCCTAATAGGAGCAAATATTTCCAACAGATCCGAGGAAAATAAGACTCAAGGAGCTACAGGAGGATATAAGCCTCATCGTGAAAATACCCAGGTATTTACAGTAATGAAGTTTAGAAAAATCTATTACTAAACAACAACATGAACTTGCTCCTGTTGAACAACAAATCCACAGTCAAGGATGGAGGGGAGATAGAACCTTCAGACAGCAATAATGCATCTCATCTGTATTCCCCAATGGAAGGAACTAGCAATAAGAAAATTAAAAGCTCCTTCTCTATCTCTTCAGAAGCCCGAAAAGAAGATATCAGGTATAATTGTACCTGAAAATTTTAGATTCCAGAGGTCTGGAGAAGGCTCAAAGTATCAAGAAGAAGTAAATGAATCCATAAACAGTCAATTTGATAGGTAATCCAGGCTAATAAATCATAGCAAACGACCGAGAGTTCCAAGACCAATATCCCCTAATCTCCAGTCAAGCAAGGATAATTACCTTAACAGAGAAGAGCTCTCATTACTTATGAGGGAAAGCTCTAAAAATAGCCTAAATTTCAGTTCAAAGCTAGTCTCGCATGACAATTTTTTAAAGCCAGGAAATGACAGCAAAGATTATAATTACGACAGATTAAAAGTTCCTGCAAGAGGTATTCTCTTCCTAACTGTTTAGCGTATCTTGATCCTCTAGGAGGCTTGGCTAATATCAAAGAAATAAAGTCAGAAGTGTCTCAAAACCCAAACGCAGAAGCTGAGGAAGAGAAACAAAACTTGAGCAGGATCCCTCCAGATGAAGAAATGTGAGACATTGACCAGAGCATTATTATTGAAAATAGCGAGTAATTTGGTATTAATCCTTCAGAGATCTCGGGATTAAGCTAAAGGAGTTTAAAACTAATATTTCAAAAGAATTCAGCTCATGGTTTGTGCCTCTTCGAGCACCTAGGAATAACAGTAAGCAGAAATTATCATTTTATAGGAGCTCAAAAGTATAGATCAGAGGAGCTCAAAGAGCAAAATCCTCCAATAGAGATTAGTGATGAGGATAGATCAGTTGAGCCTTACAATGGAGAATACCCCAACCTCATTGTCAACCATATTTGTAATAGAGTTATTTTATCTATAGCTGATCATAAATTTTCCAATGAGCAGAGATCTCTTAGTCAGGACGGCAGCAAGCCAATCGAGAACTTACAAAAGAATGAAGTAAAAAGTTGATAATGCCTAGGAAATTTTGTACAAATCCTACAGCCCTATTTTATTTGAGAAGAATGGACTCTGATCCTCTGATATGGAAATATTCCTTAAAGAGAACAACAGAAACTGAATAATCTCGGACAAGTCACAAAAAGCTGATAGTAATAGAGTAGAATCAGATAGAGTAGTTTCACCATCAAATTTCTTTTCTTCATTGGTAAACCATATTCCTGAGCTATAAGGTCATCAACAACCAACTTTATGCGAGATCAAACAATCTGAGAAATCATCCTAACCAAGAAATGAGCCTGCATTTAGCTTACAACGAAGAAAACTTTGGAGACCAAGGGGAAGAGTTCAACTTTGATGAGAAGGTCCAGTACAACAAAGATATCGGATTTAATAAATTCAGAGAAGCTCATAATCAAACTATGAAAGAGATAAATCCTCAAACCAAGTATATTGACCCAGCCAGGCGTAGTTTTGGGTTTAAGAATTACGTACAAGGGAATAACTTCGTCTCAAATAACAATTTTGTAAATAACCAAAGAGAGTTTACCCAAAACAACCAATATGAGAGGTAATTTGATACTCTAATGTACAGATCGAACTTTGCGGGCTCTCCAAATACGAACCAAGGAAGATTCCGCCCATACAGAGCAAGATCAAAGATCAAGCGTGCTCCTAGCCAAGAAGCTGCCTTTGCTGACTTCTACAAAAGATCAGAACAAACGCTTGCAATGCAGAAGATATTATGGGAAGAGGACGAGGAAGATGTCGTCCATGATTACATAACTCTGATAAATCCATAATAATATTCCTCGGCCATCAACTCTTACCTCTACTTGGGGTTTTGGGGTTTTGGGGTTTTGGGGTTTTGGGT